AACAAAAGATAATTAGGACATAAATCATATAAAAAGATATTTATTTGCTTTACTTTCGTCAAAGAGATTTTCCATGGCAGAATGAACACACTATAGTGAATGAATAAATGCCCATTGTGTAAACTGCAACAAATTGCTCACTTAACTCACTCAATCTTCCTTCGCTGAATTCAGTTTAGAACATCCGACTAAAATGAACGAGCGACCTTCTAATTTCGCGATGTTAAATCATGAGGTTAACTGACAATAACATCCTGCTTTATATTGTACCTTAATAATATCACTCCAATCATAAACCTACATTACTGTTCTAGTTATCAATTGAAATAAAACAGCTTTTATAAGACTTAGAGAAGAAGGAGGTCTGAGCTTCATATCTCCTTCCATCGAACTTAACCTCCCATTTACTTTAATAAAGGCTTGTCGATCCTTGAAGACACTAGTGGATGCAGGATTTAATTTTGGGGGGGGGCTTCAGCCCGAAAGCTTTTTTTTTCATAAAAATAACGATAATTACTTTGGAAATAAAGAAAGAAACTAACTACCTATATGCAATTGTGTTTAAGTGATTCCTAAAGTCCTTTTAAATGTAATTATACGAACAACAATACTTTAAGAGATAATTTTGTTTCTATAAAACATGGTTATATTTTACCATTTTGTGGGGGGGGGGGAATAGCTTCTGCCCGAAAGCTTTTTTTATAAAAATAACGATAATTATTTTAGAAATAAGAAACGAACTAACTACCTATAAGAAATGGTGTTTAAGTGATTCCAAAGTCTTTTTAAATGTAATTATACGAACAACAATACTTTAATAGATAATTTTTTTCTATAAAACATCGTTATATTTTACCATTTTGGGGGAGGGAGGAACTTCAGCCCGAAAGCTTTTTTTATAAAAATAACGATAATTACTTTGGAAATAAAGAAAGAAACTAACTACCTATATGAAATTGTGTTTAAGTGATTCCTAAAGTCCTTTTAAATGTAATTACACGAACAATAATACTTTAATAGATAATTTTTTTCCATAAAACATCGTTATATTTTACCATTTTGGAGGAGGGAGGAACTTCAGCCCGAAAGCTTTTTTTATAAAAATAACGATAATTACTTTGGAAATAAAGAAAGAAACTAACTACCTATATGAAATTGTGTTTAAGTGATTCCTAAAGTCCTTTTAAATGTAATTATACGAACAACAATACTGTAATAGATAATTTTTTTTTCCTTAAAACATGGTTATATTTTACCATTTTTTTTTGGGGGGGGGGAGGAGAGGAACTTCAGCCCGAAAGCTTTTTTTATAAAAATAACGATAATTACTTTGGAAATAAAGAAAGAAACTAACTACCTATATGAAATTGTGTTTAAGTGATTCCTAAAGTCCTTTTAAATGTAATTATACTAACAAAAATACTTTAAGAGATAATTTTGTTTCTATAGAACATGGTTATATTTTACTATTTTGGGGGGAGGGGGAGGAACTTCAGCCCGAAAGCTTTTTTTCATAAAAATGACGATAATTACTTTGGAAAAAAAAAAGCAACTAACTGCCTATATGAAATGGTGTTTAAGTGATATCTAAAGTCCTTTTAAATGTAATTACACGAACAATAATACTTAAAGAGATATTTTTAAATATTTTTTTTCATAAAACAAGGTTATATTTTACCATTTTGGTGACGGGGCTTCAGCCCGTGCTTGAAGACACCATATTTAAGTACCGAAATTTTACTGCACTGTTTCGTATTGTTCGTACATACCGCTACTTTTAGTACAAAACATCGTTTATAAAAATATGTTGTTTTACAGGAGAGCATTAAAAACTGGTTATTTCTTTATAATATATAAGTATAATTTCATATTTCATGTTGCTGACTACTTATTATAGTATGTGGTGCAGACTCTTTTTATCAAATTATTATTATTCGCCTGAAACTTCTTAAAGAGCTTCATCTCATCGTATCCTACAAATATTTTATTTACGAAAATTCTCGGAATTGGGGCGTTTTCGATCTGGAGATAGGCAAACTTTGTCTATTTCATTCGGCACTAAAAATCTTTCCTCTTGGATCTCAAGATAATTTGGTCAACAAATTGATAAAGAAGATGGCCTACAAAATATTGAGCTGTTTGCTCTATATAACCTCATTGTTTTGACAATTTGAGGGTGTAGTTCACGCCAAACGGCTCGATATTTTTGAATGCCACCTTTTTGATCAAGTTTTCTTACGATCCAAGTGGAAAGGTAATGGGTATTTACGAGTTTTTAGTACCAAATTAAATAGACAAAGTTTGCCGACCTCCAGATTGAAAACGCCCCAATTCCGAGCGTTTTCGTAAATAAAATATTCGTAGGTTACGACGAGATGAAAGTATTTACGAAGTTTCAGCTGGATGTTAATAATTTGATAGAAAGGGTCTGTACCACGGACTATACAGTTGAAGTTACAAAGACTCTTGTAATTAGGGCGTTTTCGATCTGAAGATAGGCAAACTTTGTCGATTTCATTCGGCACTAAAAATCTTTCCTCTTGGATCTCAAGATAATTTGGTCAACAAATTGATAAAGAAGATGGCCTACAAAATATTAAGCTGTTTGCTCTATATAACCTCATTGTTTTGACAATTTGAGGGTGTAGTTCACGCCAAACGGCTCGATATTTTTGAATGCCACCTTTTTGATCAAGTTTTCTTACGATCCAAGTGGAAAGGTAATGGGTATTTACGAGTTTTTAGTACCAAATTAAATAGACAAAGTTTGCCGACCTCCAGATTGAAAACGCCCCAATTCCGAGCGTTTTCGTAAATAAAATATTCGTAGGTTACGACGAGATGAAAGTATTTACGAAGTTTCAGCTGGATGTTAATAATTTGATAGAAAGGGTCTGTACCACGGACTATACAGTTGAAGTTACAAAGACTCTTGTAATTAGGGCGTTTTCGATCTGAAGATAGGCAAACTTTGTCGATTTCATTCGGCACTAAAAATCTTTCCTCTTGGATCTCAAGATAATTTGGTCAACAAATTGATAAAGAAGATGGCCTACAAAATATTAAGCTGTTTGCTCTATATAACCTCATTGTTTTGACAATTTGAGGGTGTAGTTCACGCCAAACGGCTCGATATTTTTGAATGCCTCCTTTTTGATCAAGTTTTCTTACGATTCAAGTGGAAAGCAAATGGGTATTTACGAGTTTTTAGTACCAAATTAAATAGACAAAGTTTGCCGACCTCCAGATTGAAAACGCCCCAATTCCGAGCGTTTTCGTAAATAAAATATTCGTAGGTTACGATGAGATGAAATTATTTACGAAGTTTCAGCTGGATGTTAATAATTTGATAAAAAGGGTCTGTACCACGCACTATACAGGTGCAGTTACAGAGACTCTTGTAATTAGGGCGTTTTCGATCTGAAGATAGGCAAATTTTGTCTATTTCATTCGGCACTAAAAACTCGTAAATATTCATTTGCTTTCCACTTGGATCGTAAGATAATTTGACAAACAAATCTTGAAAAAAAGGTGGCCTACAAAAATGTTTTGCCTATACAACCTCGTTATTTTGACATTTAGGTCTCTCCAAACGCATCAAGGTTTTTGAAGGCCACATTATATCTCAATTTTATACTCAAATTACCTTATTGTTGAAGTGGAAAGCAAATGAGCATTTACGAATTTTAAATTTTGTTCTCCAAATTGAAAACGCTTATAAAATAAATTAAAACGAAAATAAAATATTTGTAAACTAAGACGAAATGAAGCTATTTACGAAGTTAATAATTTGATAAAAAGGGACTGTACCATGGACTATATAGTTGCAGATTAATAGAAAAAAATAGAAAAATTTTACGTAATTTTCGACCAACACAATAGCGATATTAAAGTGTATGTACGAATATATATTAGAGCAGAAAAAACTCCTTGTTAGTGCCCTAAAATTTTGAAGAATGATTATGGTCGCGCATTTCGACCATTGATCGAATTACTAGTATTCGATTAATATGAAAAAACCTAAGATAAATCGATTTGCTGTTACTGGCGTATTATACAAGGTGTATCCATTCTTAACGGTGAAACTCTAGGAGGTGATTATAGGGCCCATTCCGTTATTGGTAGACAAGATAATTTAATTCTAAGTACACCATCGTAAAGTAAACAAAGTGTTTTTGAGAAACAGTGATTAAATTTACAAAAATCAATGATAAAAGGGACTTTCGGAATTTAATCACTGTGTTCACAAAAAAAAAAAAATTAATCCACTTTTTTACAAAATTGGTATTCACTCTGGAAAATTAGATTAAATCATAACAAATCACAACACATAACATTTACGCTTCGACGAGAAACATGCCCACCAGTTTATATCAGCAACAATCCAACGCTACCTCGGACTAATATTTGACAGAAGGATGACCTGGGGCCCACACGTCAAAATGAAAAGAAAGAGTTTGAACAAGAGACTGAAAATATTATACTCACTGTTTTCTAAATCAAAATTGAAAATTAGACAAAAAATAAATACATACACTTACCTGCTCAAACCCATTTGGACATACGCCTCACAGATTTACGGTTAAGATAAAATTGGTTTTGAGTACTTTTCTTTTCGGAATCGATCCATTCATCAAATCAATTTTTTTTAGTAATTAATAATTAATATAATAATTATTTTTTTGGGTAATTTGTTTGTATAAAATCACCTCTCACAGTTTATTATATAATATATGTCATTCTTTTAGTTAGACGTTGGTTATGATGTTTGTATTTTGTATACAGTATTAAGAATAAACTAAAAATATATTATTTAGACTAAGTCCATGCTTGTCATATCTGTTTGGTACATCTGAAACACACAAGGTCGATTCATTCTCTTTTAATTATGTTTTGTTCTTATCGAACTCAGTAATTGTTCAGAATTGGAAAATTATTTGAGCCAACTACTCATAAACAAGGATGTGGGTTATTGTTTGTGGTTACTTTAATGAATTATCATGGATTGCTATCTGAACTTCGACGATCACCCTCAACTCGAATGCAACCAAATTGCCCAGGTTCGAATCCCCAAGGTAGCCTTAATTAAGTCGAATGGCGTTTATCTTTTCTTTATTTTTTTTTCTGTCAAGCCTTCATCTACTTCCCTTCTCCATTGTTCCTCCATTATTAGCGTTTTCCACTTGTCAAGGCGAAGGTCGGGAAAACAGTAAGCTTTTGTTTATTTTATTTACTCACCGGAAACTGTTTATTATTCTAATGACGCTATCTCATGTTATGTAAACCTGGTGAGAAAAAAAAAACACATGTAACTGTTGCATCATATGTCGAAATATGTACTGTTTTCTTTAATTCTGCTTAGTGGCCTAAATTCGACTTCGGAAAATTACATTTGGTAATTTCTTTTATACAGTGTGATCTAATGACTATTATATTTCTGCTATATCTATCTTTCAAGGGAACCTCATTACTTTGAATTATACAATCGTTAGTGTCGTGCAATAATGCAGCGGCGTATAAACTGAGAACTGATAGACATTTCAGGCGACTTATAATTAAAATTATTATTCCATTATATTTGTTTCACATTAAATTTTATTTAATTTTAGATGTATAATTTTTGTTTTCTTTTTTGTTATTGTTCAATTATAATTTTAAGCATGTTAATATTGTGTATAGGGGAGGTGTATAAGGAGAGAGAAGTGAGAGAAAGGGAAATTAAATGTTAAAAGAAAGGGGGGGGGAAAGCATGAACAATGAAAGGAAAAAATATATATTTATTATACTCATATAAACTAACCACTTCTGTATATTTATATATAAGTTTATTTATTGTCCTTCGGATTAACGAGTATGCTGTGTATATAACAACCCAATATAATTGGGCAGCAATCTTTTATATTTTATATTTTGATGAAAATAAAGTGTTTCTCTCTGAATGATCATTTTAGACTAATAATATCTCAGGATCAATTTAATATCTACTTTAAAATAAATAATTTTTATTTTTTTCTAAAGTAAGTTCTGCCATCTGGAACCCATTTGGGCAAGTAGTGTTACATTTGATATATGAGCATTTTAGTTGACAAAATTACTAATTCCAATTTCTACATTTTTGATTATTAATTTAAGTGATATTTGTAGAGCGAAAATTTATACATTTAGTCACAGTTTTGTATTTTAACACTTACTCTGGAATCAACTTACTGTCTGTACAGATATTATAAATTTTCCCACTAGAAATATCACTAAAATGACATTTATCAAAAAAATTGAAATTTGAGTTAGAACTGAAAGGCTTGTATAAGAGTAAAAAACATGTTTGAAGTGGTACAAATGAATTCCAACAATCCTATATATTATTTCTAAAAGGTGTTTTTTTTTTTTTTCGGTACGCCATAACTTCATCCAATTATTGACCACTCATTTTGAAGATATTCTTCTCCTCCACGTACGAAAAATAGTTCCATCCCCCCAAAATTTCTGGGATAAAAGTTATGAAGGAAAAGAAACTTTATTTTAGAATAACTCAAAAAGTATGCATTTTTTCCTGGATTGTACCCATGATAATTAGAAAGATTACTAAATCACCTACAAAAAAAAAAAAAAAAAAAAAATCGGACAATTTTTAACAAAGATACAGTCCATTATTTTGACATACCTGATAATTTAATACTTTTTTTCCTCGCTTTTATATTAACTTAATTATTTCTTATAGACGTTTTGGTTGTTCTTACATTTTCTTTTCTTTAATAATTTAGAATATCCTACGATCGGGGCATTATTTTGTCTTTATTACTTCTATTATCTTTCCAGCCAGCTTTTAAAAATAGGTCCTAGCAAAGCTATTGTACAAATATTTTGGTCTATTATGTTTAATGGAATATTGTAATAGACTAAGAAAAAAATATTAGTTCCTTTCTTACATAATACATAGAAACTACTTATTTCCGTATTAGTTTGCTATTTCTTCACTAAACAAAATTGACTGCGAATTTTTCGCACGGGCCAACTAGTAATTTCTATTTTATAGATCTTTATTTATTTTATAGGTAAAATTTCTTTTAAATTTATATTATATTAAAGCTCAGGGCACTGTGCTCCGAATATGCTGATGGAATGACGATGTTTTCATTGCCTACCGTCCACTTAATAATTAAGTTTGTGTTATTTTGATAGTCTTAATGAGTTTGATTTGATAAATATGAAAGAATATCACAAATATGTTTTTCAAGCTATAGTTTTATTAAAAATATACTTAAAAATTTCTATTCAAAGTAGAGTAGTTTGCGAAAGTTGTATGATGCGCCCTCCAGATTTTATATTTCATTACTTCAAGTACCACTATCGTTATAGTGATCGTTATCAGTTAAGAGTGCTTGATATAGCGATCTTCGGATTCGCCCCACAATGGCCCCCTTGCGCGAAATAGCTTGCGCAGAGCTTGCGAACGCAGTACCTTACTGTGCAGTGCCTTATTGATTTTATGTTCCTCCCAGGCCGTTAGGTTGGCAGCTACTGCCGTGTCATCATCCCTCGTAATGTCCAATCTCTTCCTCGTTTACTTTACTCCATGTCTTCACCCCCTTCCTGTCTATCCGTCTTCCTGGGAGGTTCTGGAGGGTGTAGAGGCACTTGTTGAAACTGTTATCCCATGAAATTATCTTTTATAGTTGTTTTAACCACTTATATGAAATATGAAATGGCTAATTCGTGATATTTATTGAGCTAACTCAATTAGAACTTTTTTCAGTAATAAATAAAAACTATCTGGTCCCGTGCGAATAATTCGTATAAAATATAAGTCAGCTAACAACTGATAACAGAGTATGGGAACATGGTAATGCTATGAATTATGAGCTGAATGAATTCAAATAGTTAATTCATAATCAAAACATTTTTTACAATCTATTTTATATAATCCTATATATATTATTTTTCTGTATAATTTATTATTATTTATTGTAAATAGAGTGTGAGTCTGATCTCTGAACGCTATTATAAATTTCCTTTAAGACAGATTGTAATATTTTTCAATAAACAAATTTAAAAAAAAAAACTGTATTGTCCCTGGTACAAACTCATTTTTATGAAATTATTAACATCCGCCTGAAACTTCTCAGAATTGGGGCCGTTTTCAATCTGGAGATCGGCAAACTTTGTCTATTTAATTAGGTACTAAAAGCTAGTAAATACCATTTGCTTTCCACTTCAATCATAAGATAATTTGAGCACACAATCGAAAAAAAAAAGTGGCCTTCAAAAATATCTAGCCGTTCGGCGATATCCTCAAAATGTCAAAATAATGAGGTTGTTTAGGCCAAACGATCCAATAATTTTGGAGGCCACTTGTTTTTCTTAATTTTGTGATCAAATTGTTTTACGACACAAGTAGATGGAAACTGAGTATTTTAGTACGTAATTAAATAGACAAACTTTGCCGATCTGTAGATTGAAAACGGCCCAATTCCAAGACTTTTCGTAAATAAAATAGTTGTAGGTTACGATGAGATGAAACTATTTAGTATTATTATTATTATATAATATTATTAATTTTCAGGCAGATATTAATCGTTATACAAAAAGGGGTCTGTTCCACGGACTAGTACTATATCTTTGCTCATAATGATCCGGTTTCGAATTTTTTTTTTGTAGGATATTTTCTAACCTTTTAATTAATCATGGATATAATCAACTGTAAATTGCGTAATTTTTCTGTTATGGCAAAATGAAGTTTATTTTTATTTTTAATTTTTTTTCTCTGATTTGTTGGAGTTGTAACTAATGGAAGAAGACAATCTTAAAAATGATGGTCCAATAATTGAAACTAACGAAGATATAGCGAAATTGAACACCTGTGAGAAATAAAAGATTATATATATTGTATTTATTTCTAACAATGGAGACTTTCCATAACTACTTACCGGCCATTTTAGCTCTTACACAATATTTATATTAACCATTATAAAAATGAACAGTAAACTGAAAGGTAGAAAACATTAACATTTACAAAAAAAAAAAAATTAAGTAGTAGTGTTCTTTGAATAAATAAATAAATAACTTCTCATCTTCGCTGTTATTTTTTTAAATTTCTGTAATTTTATTTTCCATCTCTAAAAAATAATAATAAAAATTTTGAACGAAAAATAAAGTATTTCACAAGTATTGTATTTATACCTGAGAGCCGTGGTAGTGTTGTTAATTTTATAACAATCTCCGAAAATTTGAACAACCTTTTCTCATTACGTCATAATTATATTATTCGTCATAATTGTGAGGAGCGAGATTGCTCAGTGGTAGTTCACTGATCTTCTAATACTCAACCTCCCAGGTTCGAATCCCGGCTCATGGCAGACAAATTATTTATACTCTTCATCAGCCGTGAGACGACCCTGGGGTCAGGAGATCCACTTTGGGCACCAGCCTCTATAACGTGGCTACCCTTAAATAAATAATTAATTAAGGGAAAAACCTGGATGTTGAACGTGATCTCTGTTAAATCACCTCCTTGCCGAACTGTAAACCAAGAAACATGGTTTTCCCTTAATGGTACTGAACCCAAAACCCTTTATAGGGTTGTAGTGGTACAGGTTTTTTTTTTTATGTCATAATTGTAAGAAATACGTGTTTAATTGAATCAGTTTCATAGTATAATATTATATGAGCGAAATTTGAATGACTAGAAGAGTTTTGTACTATATATATATATATATATATATATATATATATATATATATATATATAAGTTTTACACTGATACAATTATTTTAAAAAAGTTATATTACTTATATAATAATAATTCTAATTAGTTTCCCTCTCCTATAAATGCAGTTATCAGTTTCGACAACGTTCCACAGGATGTGGGACATCAGGACATCCTTTACTCTACTGAAATTGTGATAATTAAAAAAGTTCTCTATCATGTCTCATATTTATAAAATTATTATATCTTCTTCGAATTATAAAATGTAATGAAAACTTCAATTACAATGAATATAAATTAAATATTGTATAATTATAGAGATATCTTTTTAATATTCTTTCAGAACCAATCAAATCCAAATAGTTTTTCTCTATCGGATTTATGTACTTTTAATATTTTTTCTGAATTTTTTAAAATTAATATCATAACGTAATTTGGGGTTCATAACACTTTTTAGAGGGTAGCTGTGAAAATGTACAAAAATTAATTTGGTTGGTATTGAAATTGTACAGCTTAAATTTACAGAATGGAAGTAAGGTTGATAAAAGACATATTATTGATTTTAAACAGGCCCTGTCGCGGTCTGTGCAATTGTGTGAATATTTCCGTTTAATATCCCATCACTACATGGCTCGCTTTCACTTTAAGCTCAAGTTATTACAGTTTGATTTAATTTAATAGACTTTAACGATCAAATAAATATTCTAATATAATGGCGATGATATCACTGTTTACTAATCCCATTCAAAATATTTGTAGTTCCAATTGATTCACTGGCAGTATGGGTATATAACAATCATTAAAATGAAGTTAGTTACGGCAAATTCTAAATTTAGCGTTAATTGTATTGATGGAAATAAGCATTAATCGATTGAAAAAGCACTGATGATTATCTTCTGCTGAAATCCAGCGAAAGGTTATCACTCTGAAAGTTTACGTAATATTGCGTTGGAAAATAAGCCCTTTCGGTTTTTCAGGATGAAATAAATCTTAATGTATTATTGACATAAAATTTATTTTAATCTACAAATTATTTTTTTTTATCTGTACCACTACAATCCATGATCTTCTTGGGTTCACTACTATTTAGGGAAAGCCCTGTTTCTTTGTCAACGGTTGTGCAAGGAGGTGATTTGACTAAGACCACGCTCAACCGCCAGGTTTTCCCCGTTAATTAATTATTTAATTAAAGGTAACCACATTATAGAGGCTGGATGTGCCACAGGAGGGTCTCGTAATCCCAGGGTCACTCCACGGCTGATGAAACAGAATAAATTTTCTTCATTTCTCGCAATTGTTTTCTCATAAAATTATTTTAATACCCCTTCCTAATTGTATGTATCTATTTATTCTTATTTTATATCTTTTATGCTGGGATAATGTAATATTGTGATCCCGTTGCTCATCCTGTGACATTAATATATATTTACTAGGTATATATTTTGTATTCTTAAGCTGTTTTTTTATGTTTTAACATAAAAAATCAATCCTTTTTATCTAAGTACTTTTGAATTTTTTTTCTTTTCTAGAGGTTTTGGTTTTTCTTTCTATACATGTAACTTTTCTTTCTTTTATTTTTTTTTCTAATACAATTATAAGTATGGTTGAGAAGACTTTATTTTATTTTTTAGTCATTTACATACTATTGTTTAAGTTGTATGTATTCTTTGATTCTTTATTAAGTTAGTTTTTCGCCAGATATGTATTTTTTCTTTTGTAACTGTTCATTCTTGTTATAGTAAGGGGACATTTTCCCAGAATAACGTTTATTTTTTATTTCTATTCTAAATAATTTTTCTGCCGTGGACCGGGATTCGAATCCCCCAAAAATTGTTTCTATTATAAGCTTTGTTATAAACATTTTTAATTATAAAATTTTAGTATGGTTTTAGTTTATCGTCTTTAAAAAAAAAATGGTTAGGAGGATCCCTAATATTTTTTTTTATTTCTAATAAATTATTGTATTGTGTTAATTGGTCGCAATTCTGTAGGATTGTCAGTTGAATTTCTCAAATATATTCAAAACAAATATCTTTTTTTTTAATTTCAAATTTATTAAATTTTTATTTAATTATGCACTAGAATAAATTTATTTAATTTCTCTCTCCTATAATTAATATAAAATAATAGTTTATATTTTTATTTATATAATAAAATATTATTTTATGTTAAGTAAAATATTTAAATATCAAATATTGTAATGGCTTCTCGGAAAGGGTGCTTGCCTTTATTAAGGAGACGTTATTGATTTTAGGCAGACCAGACACCCTAATTGCCATTTCCTTTTATAATACCAAATCCTTCTATATTATACTATAACACTATTTTAATGTTTAATATTTTTTTTTTTTTTTTTTTTGGTATTGTAATATTTCTCAATAAAAAATTGAAACTTTAAAACCATAATTGTAGAAGACGAAGAGAGGAGAAAAAAGTCTTTTTATTTATAAAAATTACATAATACATAAATTACATAATATAGAAAACAATACAAAAATGATATTTTTGGATTTAAAGCGAAAATCAGACGTACTACATGGTCTATTGAGCGCCAGAGTCGTCACTAAATTATATTTCAATCTTTTTATATATAACTAATTAATAAGAAAATATGAACAATTATATTTACAATGTAAAAGTTTTATAAATATTTTAATTACAAAATGAGTGTTACCAACATTCTCCAATTTGTTAATTGTTCAATTCTCTGGTAAGCATTATTCTATAGGAGAAAGCAGACTTGCAGTAATTTACCAATGCTGTCCAATTGTTTCCATTTAATAAATCAAATACTTGATCTCGAGATAAATTTATAGATTTTAACCATTTAATTCTAAATTCATAGATTATCGGACCAGCAGCCAGGATTCGATAGAGATCATCTGTTTCGTTTGTATTACACATGCTACAATTATTATTTGTTTGCTGGAAGTGTTTATAATTTAAGTTCAAAAC